TGGCTGAGCGCCAGAGATGCAGTCGGGAGATGGGAGAAAGTTGTAGAAAGTCAACCACCACTGCAGCCCTCCACCAGTCGGGGCTCTATGGCAGAGTGGCCCGACGGAAGCCTCTCCTCAGTGCAAGACACATGAAAAAACACCTGAAGGACTCCAAGATAGTGAGAAATAAGATTCTCTGGTCTGATGAGAACTTTTTGGCCTTAATTCTAAGCAGTATGTGTGGAGAAAACCAGGCACTGCTCATCACCTGTCCAATACAGTCCCAACAGTGAAGCATGGTGGTGGCAGCATCATGCTGTGGGGGTGTTTTTCAGCTGCAGGGACAGGACGACTGGTTACAATCGAAGGAAAGATGAATGCGGCCAAGTACAGGGATATCCTGGAAGAAAACCTTCTCCAGAGTGCTCAGGACCTCAGACTAGGCCGAAGGTTTACCTTCCAACAAGACAATGACCCTAAGCACACAGCTAAAATAACGAAGGAGTGGCTTCACAACAACTCTGTGACTGTTCTTGAATGGCCCAGCCAGAGCCCTGACTTAAACCCAATTGAGCATCTCTGGAGAGACCTAAAAATGGCTGTCCACCAACGTTTACCATCCAACCTGACAGAACTGGAGAGGATCTGCAAGGAGGAATGGCAGAGGATCCCCAAATCCAGGTGTGAAAAACTTGTTGCATCTTTCCCAAAAAGACTCATGGCTGTATTAGATCAAAAGGGTGCTTCTACTAAATACTGAGCAAAGGGTCTGAATACTTAGGACCATGTGATATTTCAGTTTTTCTTTTTTAATAAATCTGCAAAAATGTCAACAATTCTGTGTTTTTCTGTCATTATGGGGTGCTGTGTGTACATTAATGAGGAAAAAAAATTAACTTAAATGATTTTAGCAAATGGCTGCAATATAACACAGAGTGAAAAATTTAAGGGGGTCTGAATACATTTTCCGTACCCACTGTAAGTCAGAATAATATCACCTTAGATCTCTTTTACTGGGATTTTGCTTTGTTTGTCAATTGCTTATTCAATTAGTCAACTAAATTGTAAAATGCATGTATTTTACAATAATGACTGCATGAACACTCAGTAGAGCACACACATTACATTTTCAATAATTAGTAAATGGTAATTTAGTTCCAGGTTAAGATGACATATACATATAGTTTTACTAAAGTAATGAGTTACAGCGTGCAAAGGTACTATCAAATATTAACAAAATTAACTTGTATTATGCAGAAGATAATTTTTAACAGCATAAAGGTGTGTAAAAGATGACCGATTCTCATTTTTGGGGAAACTAGTCTGCTAGGATGCCGTCCATCAACTCGGTGCCATGTAAAAGTACTTAACTAATATTAAAACTACATAAGTATTTTTTTTTCTAATGAGATACTTTAAAAGTCAACTTCCATAAAGATATCTTTCTTTTACTTACACAAGAATGATGATTGGCTGCTTAGTGCAACACTGTTAAAACAAGTTTATTACCTGAAGAACATTCAGTTCTTTAAACTTCTGGAAATCTGAAATTTAAGTTACATTTTAAAATATTTAGTCACCCCTATGTACATCTAGTTTCTGTAAAAATCTGAATCATTGTGTAATGTGCACAAAAGCATCTCACCACACGGTGTCACCGTTGAGTGGCATCTGTCTGGATTTGAATTCAATGCTGCTCCTAGGAGCCCCTCCTTGCTGCTTATGTAACCCAGCTGATCACACTTGACTAATGAACTGAACTCATTTGTGCTTCATGGCCTGAATTATGTGTGTCAGGTTAGTGAGATGTCTAAAATGAGCAGTTTCATCGCCACCCCCGCAGCCACAATACATTCCTCATTCAGTTTCACCACAGAGATTATGAACCAAACCGACCAGCTGCAAGATCAATCTCAACATCACAAATGTTCATTCGAAGCAAGAACTAAAAGCTCATCCACTCACTGTAAAAAGTTGTAAATAAAACAACGATTATTGTTAAGGCAAGTTTTACAATAAAATACAGTTCCAGTCTTTCTAAAAATAATTCATTGTGAAGTTTAATAGCTATTTCTGAGTGAAAGTATTCTATGCCACTTTTTTTTAGTGTTGAAGAATGCAATATATATATACAGTATATACAGGTGCATCTCAATAAATTGGAGTTCATTTATTTCAGTAATTCAACTCAAATTGTGAAACTCCTGTATTAAATAAATTCAACGCACACAGACTGAAGTAGTTTAAGTCTTTGGTTCTTTTAATTGTGATGATTTTGGCTCACATTTAACAAAAACCCACCAATTCACTATCTCAACAAATTAGAATATGGTGACATGCTAATCAACATTATTATTATTTTGCATGCTTCAACACTAAAAAAGTGGTATATTCCCTCTTCAAGTTATACTAGCTCATGTTAGTTCTGTTTTTACAGGTTTATATATTAATACCAATGTTTTTCAAAGTATGCACAATAAACTAACAGCACGTTTATTTGAATCGGACAGTTAACACTTTCAGAAATCATGCTTCAGGATTCTCAAGAAATCTCTGCCAGACAAAAGGAGAATTGAACCAAGAGAACAAGACAATTCAAAAGAGCCTATCACTTACACAATGCCTCAGAGAAGAATCGAACAGTGGTAACAACAAGAACCAATCCCCCAATAAATCATTGGGAATAATGTAAAACATTCTGAATAATGCAGTTGCACAATATGAAACTATCCATCCCCGCTGCGATGCAACAGCTGCTTTCATGCAAGTACTGAATAATGAACTACAGATGACTCGTTACAGGTAACCGTTCATCTCTGAAGCAGACACTTCTTCATGCAATTACATTTTACTCTTTATCAGTTGACATTTGATCTTTGTTCATTTCCTTTTAGCACACAGAGGCTTTCAAACCACAACACGCTGATCAAAGTGCAGTCACGTTTCAAACCAGAGTCCACTTCAGGATGCAAAGATTCTGTTATGATGCTCGTGTGCACTGAAGTAGATTTTTAATTAGTAAAGGCACATACATGTCTCCGATTAGACTGACAATTATGGAAAAAAAGGTGGCTGACAAAAGCAGTCTGAAGTTAGAAATAGGCCCAAATAGAACCTGCAGACATTTCCCCCCACATATTCGACACTAATTTTACAAGACAATCTGTGGAGGAGAGTAATGCACTTCTGTAGTAGCATGACCAAATTATTCAAACTATTTAATAATTAATCAAACATGCAGAAGGTGTGTAGAACTTCTGTGTAAACCTGCCAGGTGTTCTGTGGAGTTCTGCAGGTTCTGCAATGAGGGATGTTGGGTTTGAGGTAATACCTGCGTCCCAAATCACATACTCTCCGAGTAAGTACTACTTCTAAGTAATTACTTTAATATGGTATGTTATGACTTTAATATGTACGTACTACATTCATCATGCACCTAACAGCATCAGTATGTGTCCATTGGATGTGCACTTAAGAATCTCGCCGCAAGTAGAAGGTCATCTGGGTGCTTTTCAACGAATGTTTTATGAATACTGTGAATTTGGACATACTACTCTTTTCACATTCTGTTTTTGGCTTACTATATAGTTGGGAAGTATGTGATTTTGGATGCTGCTTCATGTGGTTAAAACAAGCAAGGCATGGAAGGCCTGTTTCACTCCAGCCTAAGGGGCCGTTCACACACAACACGTCTTTGCATCTAAAAACGCGAGACACAACGCTCAGGAATGGTTATAAAAGGCAAGGGTCTCGAGACGGGATGCAATAACAGAAAACAGCCAAACAGCAGAATAGAATATCAGGCTCCTTTTGTAAAGAAACAGGTTGTGATAATTGCTTGAAAAAATGTTGTATCCGTGCACAGCCACTATCAGTGCTTCCTCTGCGATGTTGCTGTCACAGAAAAACAGCTTCCATGCCAACTTGCTACTGTAAACAAAAGCTTGCAATGCTTGCCCCGCCTACAGGGACTTCTGATTGGTCCACAGTTTTGGAAATGCGTGTAAAAGTAGAATTTTTTTTTAACTTGACATGGCATCTCAAAAACACGGAGACGCGAGTGCAACAGTCATACACATCCAGCTAGCGCATTTATATAGAAAAACAATGGAAAAATAGCACATTGGAATGGAAAAACGCATTTTGTGTGAACGGCCCCTAAGTTAGGTTTTGTGTTTTCTAAATAAACATTACAAAGCTGCAACTGTGAATTTCTGGGTTACTACATCAAGTGTTTTCTTTAATAATTTATGAAATGGTTATTAGGAGTTGGCCAGTGAGAATTATCACAAAGTGTATCATCATGAAATGTAATTTACATGAGGAGAGGCATCACATTTATAGCCAAAAAGTAATAAGTAACTACATGAAACCAAAACCTAAAGTTAAAATCTAGAAATCTATTGTATGGCTTTTATGGTACGTTTAGCCTTTTGAGTCTTGTGGTGCGTTTCCTCGAATGACGATATATTTCACTGACTACCATAGTACGATGCGTTGTTGGAGATACAAATTATTCTTAACTATTTTCCGAAAATGTATCGCACATCCATCATTTGGACAATTTTGGTTAATGACGTTAAGAAGGCAGAGTGAAAACTTTGCTAAGTTATTTGCGAATGTTTGTTGGAATATAGATTTGGGAAACACCAAGCTGTTGAACTATGTTGGTAACGACAGAACTTGCAAGCATTGTTGGTTAACTATGATTTTGGGAAATGCACCAGAGTACAAATCTTCAGAATTTCTTTTTTTTTTTGCATCATACGTACTATACTAAAATAATCTCATTTTCTGGAATTTTGTTGATAACGATAATTAGACAATATTTTGCTGAGCATGTTATTGTGCTGGTATTTTGGCAGGTTTAGGACTGTCGTGGACAGCTGACTCCCAAACTTTTGATACTCTTCATATTCTGTGAGGTGGTTAATGTTAGCATGCTAGCCCTAAAATAGCTAATTCAGCCAATTAGCTTCTGGCGTAAACACATCCCTAAGGTTCTCCATTGCTAGCTAAACGCAGACTCGGTCGCGGTTGCCTGAAGTGCTCGCCGACAGAGCAAATGCCCGATAAAGGGCGCTAGTGAGGTAATGGCTGCTGGTCTGAAGCGTGCAGCAGAGGTCAAAACTCCTTCCGTCTGCATTGCTGCGGGTCAGAGAGAAGCATGTGGCAAAATCTGGCAGGTTTGTCTCTCCAGAGTTAGCTGACGGAAGGAAAAGGGACGCAGGCCGTGGCGTCTGCGTTACGTGGACTGCCAGGGCTGCTGGTTTCCTGGCTGCGCTGGTGTCTGTGGTGAAGCTCTTCCCATTTGGCACGATTGGCCTTGATCAAGTCAACCATTGGCTGTAGTTTGGGGTTTAATTTGGCAAATGTCTGCAGAGAAAGAGAGAAAGAGCTGATTTATGTAAACTGCATTGGCACCAATGGTAGACACATTAACAACGTAAGATAGGGGAACATTTTCTCCACAACTTTTAAAAGTTGATACGTCAATTCATTTTAACACACAAATAATAGTAAAAAAAAAAAAAAGATGTGTGCTGAATTGTAATAAAATGTAGTGTACTCCAAATCCTAAAATTATATTAACTACTTGCAGATAAAATGTTAATCAAATAAAACATCACTTAACATCACTCTCAAAAGAGAGACACTTTCATTTCTTAACTTGCACTTTTAAAAAGTCCACTTTGTAATGTCAAATTAAAGCACTTGATTATAACTGTAGTGTGTTATTCAATATTGCATGTAAAGTTAATATACTCTAATGTACTAAATTGCAGCCTCAACATTACAAATACATGCCTTACGAGTTTTAAAAGAAATGGCATTAAGTATAATTTAGTTTACCATAACTGCTTGTCAGTACATTCACTTTAACCATATTTAAAAGACTAGAAGTAATTATGAATTTACATATAGCAGTGTACTTAAGTCCTACATAAGTGGGTCAAAAACACTCTAAAGTTCAGCTAACTGCATTTCATGTAAATTTAAACGAATACATTTTCATTTAACATGCAATTAAGTGTCTGAAGATATTACTGTGCATTCCGTTTTCAGTTTGGATATTCTTTTAAAGTGTATTATTTATTTTTCAGAATCAGTACTCTGCACCAATGGTAGACACATTAACAACGTAAGATAGGGGAACATTTTCTCCACCCTTTTAAAAGTTGATACGTCAATTCATTTTAACACACAAATAATAGTAAAAAAAAAGAAAGATGTGTGCTGAATTGTAATAAAATGTAGTGTACTCCAAATCTTAAAAGTATATTAACTACTTGCAGATAAAATGTTAATCAAATAAAACATCACTTAACATCACTCTCAAACGAGAGACACTTTCATTTCTTAACTTGCACTTTTAAAAAGTCCACTTTGTAATGTCAAATTAAAGCACTTGATTATAACTGTAGTGTGTTATTCAATATTGCATGTAACGTTAATATACTCTAATGTACTAAATTGCAGCCTCAACATTACAAATACATGCCTTACGAGTTTTAAAAGAAATGGCATTAAGTATAATTTAGTTTACCATAAATGCTTGTCAGTACATTCACTTTAACCATATTTAAAAGACTAGAAGTAATTATGAATTTACATATAGCAGTGTACTTAAGTCCTACATAAGTGGGTCAAAAACACTCTAAAGTTCAGCTAACTGCATTTCATGTAAATTTAAACGAATACATTTTCATTTAACATGCAATTAAGTGTCTGAAGATATTACTGTGCATTCCGTTTTCAGTTTGGATATTCTTTTAAAGTGTATTATTTATTTTTCAGAATCAGTACTCGTTTTAAAGCAACCATGCACAACTATATTCAAAACCCTCTTATTAGGGTTGAGGATTTTTACTAGAGTGTGGTGAAGAAGAAAAAAAGGCGACTGTATTCACCAGAAATGAACATTCAAACAGGAAGAGACAGATTCTTGTGATTCTCATGTCACTGTTCGGGAACATCACACATTTTTAGTTCACTCTAAAGCATTAAAGTGAGGAATGACTGCACATGAATAAATGAGCTGTTTTTTTGAGTTGCTCAGTGATAAACTGTCATAATGCTGCCATGTGCTGGAAAAACACTTATCGTTCAATCTCAAATTAAAGTTTGTGTTAAAAATTAGAAAGCTGCTGGAAAGATGGTTTAGTTGGTTATGTTTTACTATATGTCGTTTTTTTGAAAAATACCTAAAACACATCTAAAACCAGCCAGCCACCAAGTCTGCATGGGCAATGAGAGCCGCAAACCAGCTTAAACTGATTTCATGTCAAGTCGTTCCAAACCTGCATGACTTTCTTTCTTCTGCAGAACATAGATGATGTTTGGAAGAATGTTGGGGTCTAAACAACATCAGACCCCACTGACTTGAAACATTTTTCAAACTCTCATCTTTTGTATGACCAGGTCTGTAACCACCAAAGATACTGAGGGGAACACGTCCACCCCAGTAATTAGACATGACCAAGTTGTCTTCCCCAATATTTAATGCTGTATTCTTGATGTTGCACTTCATTACACACCTGTTTATTGTTGCCATGACTTTCCTGCATACCCTTGTTTTAAAAGTGGCATTTTATGGCTGTTCTGCCTCAGTGGTCCATCAAACGAATTGAGAAGGTTCATCAAGAAGAGGCAGGCTTTACTGTTCAGAGAAGACAAGTGCGAATTCCAACGCAAAACTTCAGTTTTAGCGTTAACTAAAGAGTAGGTAAGACGCAAGTAGATTAACGTTAAATATCTGACAACTGTTTTACCATACAATTGATAACCAGTGACAGTAATATCCAGTGCTGCAAGCTGCTCATTTTGAAGTTTTGAATTGAAAATATGCTATAATTTAAGTGGCTAACTGATTATGATGAGACAAGAAACATTATGTGCTTTTGACATATTAGTCATACATATGGAAGCCCGCTTCCGCCACTGAATAAAAAATAAAACAAGGTAATTTGGCTTTTTATCTCTTTGATCTCACAATTCTGACTTTTTTTCTCAGAATTGCGAGTTCATCATATCTTGCAATTCTGACTTTATACCACGCAATTTTGACTTTATAACTCGCAATTATGATAAAAAAAAGTCAGAATGATATATGAACTTGCAATTGTGAGAAAAAAGAAAGTCTGAATTGTGAGATATAAAGTCGCAATTGCAAGAAAACAACTTTATTTAGTGGCGGAAATACATACAAATAAGAGTGAATGTGTGCATATTTTACATTATTTTTCAAAATAAAGAATTGTGAATGACAGAATTTTTTTTTACTGTTCTTATATCTTTTATTATTGCCTTAAATCCCTTTTAATCCTTTAAATAAAAAGATCATCCCCATCTAATTTCCAAGACATGCTTATGGCCTTGAGCTTGATAGATCTGGACACAGGCAAATGAGCAATAGTGAAGAAGTTTAAAACGAGAGGAACCATGAGAGAGAGAAGGGTCAAGGCAAAAACACTCCCACACATTTCCTGCTTTCCCGCAGAGTGTGTGACTGGCAGGATTCTTTAAACACACACACGCACACACACACACACACACACTCAGGGTGGCAAAGTCTATGAAGAAATCTGCTCTGCCTGTAACAGCTTTCCATTTAATTCATACATGCAGGTGATTTTAAACCAAGCTCTCAAAACCCACTTGAAATAAAAACTGAATGAAAAGAGAATTTCTTCTCTTCAGACATTTAATTAGTGGTAGCATAATTAGTTTGCTAAGGCAGTCAACACTGTTACTGCTGCTCAGTGATCTGATCAAATCCACACTCTCATATTTAGAGAGCAGAATATCATTGGTGTGGATAAGTACCCTAGCAACCACCTACTGTAGCAAAGCAATGGCATAGCAACCAGCCAGAATACCCTAGCAACTGCATTTCATAACACCACATAAAGCAACACCTTGACCTTCTGGCAGAAACTGTACAAATCTGGTTTTCGTGTAATTCACAACATTATAAAGCATTCTCATCTCTGCCTTTCTTTGAGGATGAAGGCTAATAGAGGAATTAGAGCATACTAAGTGTGGATGACGTCGCGTTACGCCTGTCTCTGAGATTGGCTTGCTAGACTGATATTTCTGTTCATACAGGCAGAATAAAAGGGAGAAGAATGAGAACGATTGTCCATGAAAATGTGTGAATATTTCTTAGCCCTATAGCCTACTCTATCATAGTTGATACACGCATTTCTAAGGGATAGGCTACCTGTCAACCCTCCCGTTTTTCCCGGGATTCTCCCGTATTTTACCATTCTATCCCGCTATCATCCCGTTTAAATATTTTCCCATATTTCTCCCATATTTTTAATCTTTCTATAAAAAAAATCCCACTGGGCGTATTTTATATGTTTGCTACATTCGCTTCTGGTAAAACTCCCGTAATTTGTATGGGCCAAACCTCATTATATGAATAATCACGACAACAAATTCAAAGGTTGTCCAGTTGCCAGATCTTGTATGAAACGCACCTTTCTCATACGATCGACGCATACAAATTTCAACCAATGTGTCCCCTCGACTTGGCAACCTACAGCCCAGTGATGCTATTGATATCTTCGCAGGGAGTACCGCGGGAAGGAAACAATGATCACTGGTAGAAATGGGAGGAGAAGACTCAGGTGGCGCTCGAGTGAAAAAAACTAAATATACATGTAAATGTATATTTACATGTATAATGAGATATAGCTTACACTGGCAAAGTCTATGAAGAAATCTGCTCTGCCTGTAACAGCTTTCCATTTAATTCATACATGCAGGTGATTTTAAACCAAGCTCTCAAAACCCACTTGAAATAAAAACTGAATGAAAAGAGAATTTCTTCTCTTCAGACATTTAATCAGTGGTAGCATAATTAGTTTGCTAAGGCAATCAACACTGTTACTGCTGCTCAGTGATCTGATCAAATCCACACTCTCATATTTAGAGAGCAGAATATCATTGGTGTGGATAAGTACCCTAGCAACCACCTACTGTAGCAAAGCAATGGCATAGCAACCAGCCAGAATACCCTAGCAACTGCATTTCATAACACCACATAAAGCAACACCTTGACCTTCTGGCAGAAACTGTACAAATCTGGTTTTCGTGTAATTCACAACATTATAAAGCATTCTCATCTCTGCCTTTCTTTGAGGATGAAGGCTAATAGAGGAATTAGAGCATACTAAGTGTGGATGACGTCGCGTTACGCCTGTCTCTGAGATTGGCTTGCTAGACTGATATTTCTGTTCATACAGGCAGAATAAAAGGGAGAAGAATGAGAACGATTGTCCATGAAAATGTGTGAATATTTCTTAGCCCTATAGCCTACTCTATCATAGTTGATACACGCATTTCTAAGGGATAGGCTACCTGTCAACCCTCCCGTTTTTCCCGGGATTCTCCCGTATTTTACCATTCTATCCCGCTATCATCCCGTTTAAATATTTTCCCATATTTCTCCCATATTTTTAATCTTTCTATAAAAAAAATCCCACTGGGCGTATTTTATATGTTTGCTACATTCGCTTCTGGTAAAACTCCCGTAATTTGTATGGGCCAAACCTCATTATATGAATAATCACGACAACAAATTCAAAGGTTGTCCAGTTGCCAGATCTTGTATGAAACGCACCTTTCTCATACGATCGACGCATACAAATTTCAACCAATGTGTCCCCTCGACTTGGCAACCTACAGCCCAGTGATGCTATTGATATCTTCGCAGGGAGTACCGCGGGAAGGAAACAATGATCACTGGTAGAAATGGGAGGAGAAGACTCAGGTGGCGCTCGAGTGAAAAAAACTAAATATACATGTAAATGTATATTTACATGTATAATGAGATATAGCTTTCCCTTCAAAAGGCTATGTAATTGATTAAATATGAGTGCTGCGGTTACCGGGGAAACGGCTATATTCCTGGCGAAAAGCGCCACCTGCTGGCAGAGAATGAATTTGCATTTTTCAATAAGCCCTTCTGCTCTTTGTTTAGACCAAAGCCAAAAACGACACTTATTTTTACGCAGAAAACAAGCAGTTGTAAATGTGAACTGCTGGATCGACAAGAAGATAATGAATTATAAAACTTTAAAGATATAGCCTACAGTAAGATATAGTTATGTTACTAAATGAATATAATTGCTTAAATTAATATAAAAATAAAATAAAATAATATATAAAAATGGTTATTTTTGACTTTTTGCTTTATTCTCCTAAAGTTTGAGCTTCATATTCTATTATATCATACTATATGAGCCATAAAAGCCTGATGGTTTTTTTTTTTTGTCTAAAGGTTTAACTGTTCCATTCATTTAAAAACATACATTATTATGCAGACATATTTACAAGTCAGTCATTCGTAGCTAGATTTCTGGTACAGACCAATCGAGTGTGTTTGGGGTGAAACTATCTTTGACTAACCAATAGAAGATGGGTGGAATGATGGGAAATTATTTTTGCAATTTCATTTGGTGGCTCTAGAGTGGTAGAAATGACAATTCAAGCTTGAAGTTATATGTATAAATATGTTTTTTATGGATTGGGTAACAACCCTCTTTGACTGTTCTCTGTACAAGATTTTTGTCACATTATTGTATTGATGAAGTATTACCTCGTACAGCGGCGCACAGATTCCATCAATCCACTCCAGCTGTAGACCTGGCAGCTCATCTTTGCGGTTTCGGTCAAAAATTGCCTATTACACACGCACAAATACAAACTAATAGATATTTGTTAAACACAAACCTGCAAATATATTTAGAAGTGCTGCGATCCATAGAAGATGAAAAACCCTAAAGCTGATCTCAGTTGTTTCTCAGACAAAATGAACAAACGGAGACATCTGCTTAAAGGGTAAGTTCACACAAAAATTAAAATTAGCCCATAAATTACTCACCCTCAAGTCATCCTAGGTGTATATGACGTTCTTCTTTCAGACGAATCCAGTCGAAGTTATATAAAAAATTGTCTTTGATCTTTCAAGCTGTTTCATGGCACTCAGCAGGTGTTGCATTGCTTCAGTCCAAAATAAGTTAAATAAAAAGCGCCCATCCATTTAAAAAAATGGATAGGTGAACAAAGGCCTTCTGTAGCGAATCGATGCGTTTTTGTAAGAAAAATATCCATATTCAAAACGTAATAGTCACTTGAATCTAGCTTGCGCTCACTGTTGTAAACAGAAGCAGCTGATGATGTCGGACGTCGGCGTTGCACATGCGCTGCTCAGAAGTGACGAACGCGGAAGTGCAGCGGAGAGATCAAAACAAAACAACGGTCAGGAATTAGAAGTACAAAACGAGGATTTGTAAAGAAGAATGTCAGAGGATTTCAATATAAGCCAAGAGACTGGTTTTCCTTTGCTAAAGTAAGGAAACTTTGCTTCCTTTGCTCCTGTAAATAAACGTTGGTTTTCATGAGACTCACCTGCGCATGCGCAACACTGACCTCATACGTCATCCGCCCGGAACTGCTTCCGTGTACAACAGTGAGCGCAAGCTAGATTAAAGTGATTATTAGGTTTTTAATATGGATATTTTTCTTACAAAAACGAATCAATTCGCTACAGAAGGCCTTTGTTCACCCCCCGGAGCCGTGTGAGACACTTTTTTTATGGATGGGCGATTTTTATTTTTATTTATTATTTTACTTTTGGACCGAAGCAATGCAACACCCGCTGAGTGGCATTAAACAGCTTGAAAGATCAAAGACAATCTTTTATATAACTCCGACTGGATTCGTCTGAAAGAAGAAAGTCATATACACCTAGGATGCCTCGGGGGTGAGAAATTTATGGGCTAATTTACATTTTTGGGTGAACTAACCCTTTAAGCCCCTTTGCGAAAAGAAGTGCATTTTAAACTGCTTTTAAAAAGAGTAGGTACAGATATAATATACTTGAAAATAATATAACTTAAAATTAATAGTTTAAATGTTGTTTTGACCCACTTAAGTAGGATTTAATACATCTTTATATGTAATTTTATGATGCACAACAAAAGATTAATATATGATGATTAAAAATGCACTTTAAAGTAAAACTTTAAATTTCCTAATATTACAAAGTGTTTTAAGAAACAGTCATGAAAGTGAACACTTAAGTGGTCTTTAATTTCATTAATATATACAGGTGCATCTCAATAAATTACAATGTCATGGAAAAGTTTATTTATTTCAGTAATTCAACTCAATTTGTGAAACTTGTGTATTAAATAAATTAAATGCACACAGACTGAAGTAGTTTAAGTCTTTGGTTCTTTTAATTGTGATGATTTTGGCTCACATTTAACAAAAACCCACCAATTCACTATCTCAACAAATTAGAATACTTCATAAAAAAATTTAAAAAACATTTTTAGTGAATTGTTGGCCTTCTGGAAAGTATGTTCATTTACTGTACATGTACTCAATACTTGGTAGGGGCTCCTTTTGTTCCTTTAATTACTGCCTCAATTCGGCGTGGCATGGAGGTGATCAGTTTGTGGCCTTCAGCTCATCTGCATTTTTTGGTCTCTTGTTTCTCATTTTCCTCTTGACAATACCCCATAGATTCTCTATGGGGTTCAGGTCTGGTGAGTTTGCTGGCCAGTCAAGCACACCAACACCAGGGTCATTTAACCAACTTTTGGTGCTTTTGGCAGTGTGGGCAGGTGCCAAATCCTGCTGGAAAATGAAATCAGCATCTTCAAAAAGCTGGTCAGCAGAAGGAAGTGAGACACTTTTTTTATGGATGGGCGATTTTTATTTTTATTTATTATTTTACTTTTGGACCGAAGCAATGCAACACCCGCTGAGTGGCATTAAACAGCTTGAAAGATCAAAGACAATCTTTTATATAACTCCGACTGGATTCGTCTGAAAGAAGAAAGTCATATACACCTAGGATGCCTCGGGGGTGAGAAATTTATGGGCTAATTTACATTTTTGGGTGAACTAACCCTTTAAGCCCCTTTGCGAAAAGAAGTGCATTTTAAACTGCTTTTAAAAAGAGTAGGTACAGATATAATATACTTGAAAATAATATAACTTAAAATTAATAGTTTAAATGTTGTTTTGACCCACTTAAGTAGGATTTAATACATCTTTATATGTAATTTTATGATGCACAACAAAAGATTAATATATGATGATTAAAAATGCACTTTAAAGTAAAACTTTAAATTTCCTAATATTACAAAGTGTTTTAAGAAACAGTCATGAAAGTGAACACTTAAGTGGTCTTTAATTTCATTAATATATACAGGTGCATCTCAATAAATTACAATGTCATGGAAAAGTTTATTTATTTCAGTAATTCAACTCAATTTGTGAAACTTGTGTATTAAAGATTCCAAGTACACTAAGTGAAAATTCAAAACAATTAAGTACACTTCTTTTTCACAAGAGCCATCTGGAGATTTTTCTAAACACTAAAATGAAATATCCTCTATACTCTTACTGTACGTCAGCAATCGTCTCATTTGTATTTACTTTCATTTGAGACAAAGTTGATACTTCAAAGAAACACAGATTAATAACCATTAAATATAAAGAGATATCAAAGCGCAACCTCTGAGCAATAACATTTTCCTTTGAGAAACAGAGACACAGACCCTCTTGAATGAACCCTTTTCATGTGTTTTTCTTTATATTGTTCAATCACAGATCTGTGTGTGTGTGTGTGTGGCAGCGCGGGCTGCAGCACAGAGATAGAGAGGGTCCGTGTTTGAATATATCATGCTAACACCCACACACTCTGAGCAAAAGACTTTTAACCTGAGGCGAGCGTCTCTGCAGAGAGTTTCAAAGCTGTGTCATCCCGAGACTTCCTAATGTTACCTTCTGCCTCACAATCCAGGCCAATGGGAAATATACTGGGAAAAAAAGCTAGCTATTTCCCTTTTAAAACTGGATGAGCGTGTGCAGACTTCAGTTTCATGCAATATTAATATAACTGGATCATACCAGACCAAACAAATTGTAAAGTTCTGTCAAAATCTGTCATGGCCATGTAAAGACGCTATACACTTTTGCATAAATGTAGGCATTTTACAACTTAACACACATTTTTGTTCTAACAAAAAAACATTCCTTCTATAAAGAGGCAGGTGATCATGAGTAATGTAAAAGTGTTAACCTCACCGAGGGAGTCAGTTTCAGTTCTGATCGCTCTCGGTCTCCCTGCTCGAAAAACTCACTAGTCACCAGCTCTGCAACCTGTTAGAAAGCAGACACACGTTAACACACTAGTGTCAGCAGTGTTATTTAAGCATTATTCATGTATTTATTAATTCGCTTTTATTTTGTATTTTTAGTTTTCATGTTAATTTTCATTTCAGTTTACGTTTTTCAGTTCACTTCCGCTTTTTTTTCCCAATCCCAGTAATATTCATTTCCGTACTCATCTGAGGTGTATTGTGGGTAAGAGCATCTACCTTGCGTGATATCTCCCAGGGTTTCGTGACAGCACCCAGATCACACGCTGTCATCAACATCGACCTGGGAGACGTTCAGAAATGAATTAGAATCAGAAATGTAAAGGTATTTGGTGTGTGTTTGTGCAGGCCTGTTCATATGTAACTGACCTGCACATGTCTCTGTGTTCCTTCACGTTCCAGTTGTATTCTCCTTTATTCACCAGCTCAAAGAAGGAATTCCTGTTCCTGTGAATGAAAACGCCATGAGCACTGTGCAGTTCACAGAGCAGCCACATGACAGCAGTACAGGGTCACATCTGCTACCAACATCAGTGTGAAGCAGGGAAACATTCACACACACACACACACACAAATTATTATTATTACCTAAGAACACAATAAACAATACTTCTGCCAAGGTATACAGTTCATCTGTGTACGTCTAGGTTATATTATAGATACACGACTACTGTTTAAAAGTTTGTGATCAGAAAAAAAATAATAATATAT